TAAGGCTATAGCAAGCAAGGAGAATACCTCATAAACAAAACGTTCGATAGGGGAAACATAGTGGACGAAAGATAAATAATTTTTTTTAGTGGATTATATTACTTTATGGGGTTTTACCTTATGAAAAACAAAGGGGTACGTGGACATTCTTTGGTTTGGAATTGACAAAAAAAAACATCGAAGTTTTGTTTGGTTAGACATTGATACTCCCTTCGAATAACCAAAAAAAAAAAAAAATGATACTCCCAAAGGGATCATAGCGAGGAATATAAGTTCTTGTGTATGTATTACCATTAATGAATTCTCTCGTGGAAATAACAAACCCATTTCTCCCTCCCTTCCTCCACCCCAGCTTGTGTGCAGGAAAATGTACTATATTACTGGTGCTATGCCTTAAGGGCTGCAACAACTCAACAAGATATTCATTAGCCCGCCGTTGGACGATGATCTTGACCCCGAAAAAAGTACCAATACCAGCTGAACCAGCAGAAACCAGCTCAACTTAGACTAAATGGGCAATGATCATTGTGGCGTATTGTTTGTCAACAGCTATTGCAATGGCTCTACTACCCATCCAACTTCACTCCAAGCAGCTCCCTCTAACCTTTTGCTTTCTCGGTCTCGCAATCACACTTTCCTTTTATGGTATCATGGTTAGCAAATTCGTTCGGAAATCTAAATGCCCGTGTGTCAGAGTTCATCTGTTCCATTATGTCGGTGCCTTCTTCGGAGTGACTTGCCTTCTTCATTTCCATCACCATCCCCTTTCCCCTCTGGTTCAAGTGAATTGCATCTATCATCTATGTGGGCTCATGCCGTGTAATACTATTTTGTCACCACTACTATAATTGATCGGATATATCCGGCAAGAATTAAAATAATTCCAGGAAAGATGAAAGCGTTCGAGAGAGGAGACATAATTAAATTGCACTGTTTGAATTTTACTCTTATATATGTGTGTTCTAGAATTGGGACAGTTTGTAAACTACATGGACTAAATCCGAAGAAAATGAAAGGACATGGATTGCCGGCCGAGAAGCCAGAGCTGCGTGATTGCTGCGGCAAACGTGTCCGGTGCGTGTGGGATGTGTATTAAGTCGAGCTCGACGAATACAACAAGCTCTTGATAGCATGAATGGAAATATGATTCCAACCTATCCTCCCATTGTTTCCGCTTACGCTCTTCTCTCCTTTTCTGCACTTTCTCCTGAGCTTTCTTGTCTGCCATTTTGGTTTCCCATTTCTGCTTGCTTCAATAGCTTCTTCTGTGCGCTCTTCGAAATTGCTTCGCCGCCATTCGGTGCATTCCTCCGCTTGAGGACCTTTTCGTTTACCTGATTTTCTTTGCCCTCCATAGTTCGATTGTCGTTGCTGCTACAATGCATCTGCTTTCTGTAATTTCAGATGGAGGATTCTTTCTCCCTTTGGATGTTTTGTTAGGGTTTAATTTTTTTTTTGGTTGGGAACGATAACGAAGGCTGCTCAAAAAATTTCTTAATTTATTCATATTTAATTAATTTTTCAATCTAGTTAGGTAAAAGAGTGGGTTCCGATTCTGCTATGTTAACAGTTGAAAGAAAAATTAGCGGATTAATTAATAGAAGTCTGATATTGCAACGAATTCGTTAGTTGATGTATAACTTTGCAATGTTCAAAAAATAAGGTATAAGTTTGTTATATGACTTATACTATGTTTGGATGAGGGAAATAGACTTAGAATTGTGATAAAAGTCAAAATTTATAAATTGACATCCACCAATTTTCTTGTTTGGATTCATAAACATAGAAATTTAGAATTTATGCGTGGAAAAAAAACTTGGAATTTGGAACCTCAAATTCCTTAGTTTAAATTCCATGTAAATAAGTGTCATTTCCCAATTTCTATGATTGAGAGTTTAAAAATAACAAATTTCGTATTCAATTCCATTGTTTTTTAGGTTAACCAAACAAGAAAATTTACAAATTCTAGAAAATAAAATCTCGTCATTTCAATTTCCGTTATTTTTAAGTTTCTTAGTAATCTTAAATTTCTTCATCCAAACATAGTATTAAAGTTGAGGTGATAAAAAGTAATTTATCCAAAAATTAACGGTGGTTAAAATACGTCACATTTGGACGGTAAAGTCATGGAAACACCTGTTTCTTCAATATGTTGGATCTTAGCTCCATGAAACAATATACTAACTACTACTAAAACATTGAAAAATTGAAATTTAGTTCAAAACATTGTAGATATATGGATCATATGAACTGCCTGAAAAATTCTTGAACAACAAACAATTAGAGCTATTACTCACAACATCAAATAAACTTTCATTAATGAAAGATGTAAATCGAGATGTTATGGGCAATCAATGCCCTATGTAGAGATTACTCTCCATCCGAGCGGTGGACACAAGTACTTTCACTAAAAGAAATAGAGTAACTAATTAATTAACTAGATCCGATGAACATAGCACTAGTGAGGCTGCAGACAACTAATTAAACTCCAAACATAACAAAAAACAGTTGACACTGAAACCTACGACAAATATGAGATGCCCATTCTGAAGAGTAAATCCCATATATAGTCATATATAATTATTCACCAGCACTTCAGGGCATCCATGAGAGTTATTTCGCATCACACAATACTATTTGTGCACGCTTGATCATCAATAGTACTAGTATCGCCTCGGCATGATTCTGTTGCAGGATCAACGGCGGTTTTAGAAATCTTTAGGGTTGGGTACTTAGAACTATTAGGTTTGTAATATTTATTGAAGTGAAGATTACAAAGTATTATGAGGAGAAAGGAGGCAACGTAGATAGAATAGGCAGCATATTTGAACCACAAAGGAAATGGGATGCTGATGGATATGAAGAAGGCCGTGACTCCAAAGAAGAGGCCAAAATTATGGCAAAGGAGGGTGATTGATATTCCGGCGGGACAGTAGTTGAAGTGAACAAACTTACTTACCAAGATACAAGTGAAGGCAAGCAAGACTGATAGTCCAAGAATGTAAAAGATTACAGAAAGCTGGCTGGAGGGAATTTGGACGGGGAGAAGCGCTAGTCCCGTCGCCACTGTGAAGCAAAACATGACGACTATCTTTGGCCAATCTAAATTGCTGTTGTGGAACTTATAATTAGTCTTGTCTGCAACCTGTTGCATTACAGCTTCTAGGTCTTGTTCGCGATCGCGAGCATGATCATCCGGGCTAATTATAAGAACTTTGAGTAGTTGGATTGTCTTTGCAATAAGTGCAAGGAGAAAGGGCTTTAAGAACTGATCATAAGAATTATTAACACCACACTTCATTTTTGTTCAGCACCGGAGGGAGAGAGAGAGAGAGAGAGAGAGAGAGAGAATGAGAACGGTTAGAGATGGTAATTTATATATAGTATAAGGAGGGAAGAACGAAAGAGATAGAAAAAGAAGTGAGGGAAATTATTTAATACCAAAATTAGGCCAGAAAGAAGGAAAAGTAAAATTAATTAAAGCTAGCGATATTCGATTACATGTTTTTGGATGTGATTGTGAGCATTGATATAGGAAAATGATTTGTGCACACTGTTATTTTCTTCCAGCCGTTGAATTGAACATATAAAGTAGGATCAAGGGGCTAAAATTAAGAGATAATGTGCAGAAGATGAATAAGAGTGTGCATAAATCAGTTCCCGTCTACATATCGTGTGAACGCTCACAACTACATGCACATGTGGACGATCGACCATACTAGCATCCCTCGAAACACTATCAAATACACGCCAGGTGAGAATTGAAAAAACGGGGACACTGACCGATGTACTTAATCAAATTAAGGTCGACTACGTACAAAAAGGAACTAATTCACATTCCTCTTTGAATTCTCGAAAGAGTAGTACAAGAGTGCAGTTATGAATTGGGTCCCTTGCTCGATCCATAAATGAGTTTTTCTTATTAGAACGATTGTCGAATATATAATATAGGTTACTAATTTTTATTTCTAAACTACAATGAAAGAGATTCAAACTCAATCGGTATACATAAAAATAAACATTGTCTTAGCCAACTTGACTTACCATGCACGGGTATGATACAAAAGAGTTCATAAAGTAGCTGACTATGGGGATAGGGATTCAGATTCTTGAGGCTGCTTGACTATGTGCTAGATATTCATGAGTCAACAGCTTCTGAGTTCGCAAATAAGAGCTCGACCTGTTTTCTTTTTTATTAGACACCAGTGGGAATTTCAAACTTTAGTTGAGCTTAGTTGCCCAGAAAGAAATAATTTTACCTCACTGGTCCAAAGTTCTATTCAGCTTACCAGTTGGTGGAGTCTAGACTTGCTTTTTGGGGCGAGTCTTGCTAGTATTTCCTTTAACGGTTAATTGTCTCTTTTCTATGTGCTAATTATGATAAGAAAATTATTCGACTTTGATTTTTTGTGCTGAATTCTTTCCGTGCATGCGGATTTTATATAATTATTAGCGATTCGACTTTGGATTTTTAATTGTGTTGAATTCTTACTGTGCGGACGGATTTTATGTAATTATTAGTATCGTACCACACCCAGTAACAATTCGCTCTTTTGATTGTTATTCTTTACTTATAATTTTTTTATTTTGTTTAAATATTTTTTTATTTATTTTATTTAAAATATTTAAGAAATAAAAGAAAAAAAACTGTCCATGTAGTTAGAAGACTATAAATTAAATTATGTGGAATATTTAAAGGAGGGAGAAAAAGAGGAACTTGGAATTGGATAGAGAAGTTTTTTTTTTATTTTTTAAATTAGACGATATTAGGATCATCTTTGGATGAGACTTTAAAAAAATTGTCAAATTAGTTTGTGTGTATTTATTTTACTGCCCGTCATTTTATTTTATAGTAAAAGACTAAATTGTATTTTCACCATCTTTTGATTGACAAATAGAGTTTTATTAGTATGTAGTTTAGATTATTTTATTTTAACAATTTTAATTAGAGAGGGGTAGTAATTTTGAAATTATGATTGTTTCACCTTTTTTGCTTTCTGACTTTATATATATTGTACCAGTACAAATTACATGCTTCATCCTCATGCCTCCTTCTACCAGTTTTTCTGTAAGGCAATCCACCAATCTAGTTGGTATATTTCAAGTTTCGAAAAGTCACATTTTCATGTAAGGTTTCAAAATCTCAGAGACGATTCTGTTTATAGTAACAAATAGGATTCACACAATAAACTATTAATGAAAAACATTTAATGAACTATTATTGAAGTCACTGAGTATTATGGTCCAGTGGTATACCTCTTCACTTGTAAGCAAGGTATAAAATATCGATGATATTGGAAATATCGGTAGTTCAAACACACGAAAATATCGATGGAAATATCGAGATATTATCGATATCGATAAAAATTGAATAAAAACTACGGAAGTTGTAAGAAAAACTTGGAAATTTTTATTGAAACTTTGGAGAATGTTTATTTAGTCAATTATCTATTAGTTTATAAAAAATTAGAAGGAAATGCATTACATGATGGATTTAACTGATTTAAGTTGATTATACAGCGAGCTGGCAAACACTGTGAGTGTAGAAAATATGTAGTAATTAATGAAAAAAAGATTAAACACACCATAATCATTTATATATAATGATTTACTACAATATTTTACACTTTATACATTGCATGTGCAAAAGAAATTGTCAAAGATTCATTGTCATGTGCAAATTTGTTTCTTGCAAAAAGAATACAAAACAAAACCATATATATAAATATTTTAGCATATGTTCACAAAAACTTAAGTGATATGGTGGTTAAGGTGTTGAAGGAGTAAAGTGGGAGGGTTCGAATCCCCTTGGTGTTATTTTAGCATATTTTCATTGTCATATGCAAATTTGGGTTTTATCTCGCGATAATATCGAGATTTTAACGATATATCAATGGATAGCACCGATATTATCGATTTTTTCGTCCTTGCTTGTAAGTGAGAGGTCTTATGTTTGATTCTCAGCAAAGGCGAATTTGAACCACGTTATTGCTAGCTCATTATCGATTTTTTTCATTAAAATCATTGAAAATATCGTACCTCAATATTATCGCAATAATATCGAGATTTTAACGATATATTCAATGGATAGCGCCGATATTATCGATTTTTTCGTCCTTGTTTGTAAGTGAGAGATCTTATGTTTGATTCTCAGCAAAAGGCGAATTTGAACCACGTTATTGCTGACCACAAAGGCGATTTGCGTTATTGCTAGCTCATTGGCTAAGCCCACCTTCTCTCCCTTAGTGTAGATAATATTTTTTTGTTTTAAAAAACCAATCATTGATAATAAGAACCAAAAAAAGGAAAAGAAGTAGTGGTATTTTTGTAAATATGCAAATTTGGGTTTTATCTCGCGATAATATCATAATATCGCGATATATTTCTCAAATAATGTATTAAAATCATTGAAAATATTGTATCTCGATAATATTGATATTTTAACGATATATTAATGGATAGCGCCGATATTATCGATTTTTTCATTAAAATCATTGAAAATATCGTATCTCGATATTATCGAGATTTTAACGATATATCAATGGATAGCACCGATATTATCGATTTTTTCGCCCTTGCTTGTAAGTGAGAGGTCTTATGTTTGATTCTCAGCAAGGCGAATTTGAACCACGTTATTGCTAGCTCATTATCGATTTTTTCATTAAAATCATTTGAAAATATCGTATCTCGATATTATCGCAATAATATCGAGATTTTAACGATATATCAATGGATAGCGCCGATATTATCGATTTTTTCGTCCTTGCTTGTAAGTGAGAGATCTTATGTTTGATTCTCAGCAAAGGCGAATTTGAACCACGTTATTGCTAGCTCATTGTGAGGCTAAGCCCACCTTCTCTCCCTTAGTGTAGATAATATTTTTTGTTTTAAAAAACAATCATTGATAATAAGAACCAAAAAAAGGAAAAGAAGTAGTGGTATTTTGTTAAATATGTTGAACTTTGAATGCAATGACATTTTTTGTTAATAAATTGAAGTTCGCTAGCAATAACGTAAATAAGTTGAAGTGTATTTTCATCAGTAGCAAAGGTTTGTAGTGTCTTTTTATTTTTTTCTAATAGGTTAAGGGTAGTGATATCCACATATCCATTTCACCTCTCACAATTTTGTTAATTTTTGTTAATTCGATATGACAGCCAAAAATTATAAGTTGTGTGAGAGGTAAAAGTGGTGTAGGGATATCACCACAAATAGCACTATCTTATGTTAAATCATAAACAATTTGATGACATATTTTTCTGGATTGGGTTTTTTTCCAAAAATTTTTTTCCAAAAAAAAATAATCAACTAATTCATAGCATTCACCACGAGAGAGGCCAGGAGACTGTCTCAAAGTGAGTTTTCTATGAACTTTCTATCACCTCACAGTTTAATGTTAATTATATGTAATTATAAAGTATTGTGCAAAAATAGGTGACAAAGAGTAATAAAAAATATTACTTTTGAAAGGTCTCTTTAAACCACCACATAAATGGTAGCCTCAAATGTTACATATCTGAATCAACACCTAGACCCGCCACAAGTAATGTTGTCTCAATGTTACCTATCCGAATCGACGCTTAGACCCACACAAGAAAATGGTTGCCTAATGGGATAGTCAAAGTGTGTGAATCGAAAATTAAATTATTTGGCTCTTGAAAAATTCATAGTGAAAGAAACATAATGGTCAAGAACAATGGCTGAGGTCAACCTTTTCTGGTTCGGGGTCAGGAACCAAAGGCAGGTAATTCGGTTCTCTTGGATTGAACTTCCTTTGCTCCTCCCCATCCATGTTGAGTTTCTTGCATTTGATTCTTTTCCAGTAGTTGTAGGTGTTGGGAAGTTCTTGGTCGAAGTTGCTTGCTGCATCAGAAAATTTTCTCTTCATCCCAGGGCTAATGCTATTATTGGCCGTGTTGAAATTTTTTGTGGCTTCTGGCTCTGAATTGTTTTCCACTTCCATGTTATCAGGTTCTCCTGTGTTGTTACCGAAGATATCTGATTTTTTCAGCCTTAAATCGCTTTGATCCTCAGATTCATTGGAACTTGAAATCTTCATGTACTTCCCTTTTGGACAGGTTACCATCTTCAGCAATGTCATTTTGCTGGTAAGGCTCAGTCTTCTTGCCATTATCATAATTGTCAACCTTGACAGCATCTTCATCTGTCTCCACACTGGTGTAGTTGCTTTCAACATCTCCAAGGTGAGAGCCGATCTCATGATCCTCTGCTTCAAAACATTCATTTTGTTGTTGAATTTCCTCATCAGTTCCTGTTAGTTTCTCAGTTGGCTCCTCTGCT